AGCGTCAGCCGGGACCCCCTCGGAGTAGGAGAGATGAGGACCCACCACAGAGGCTGCGTGCAGCGTGGAGTCCACCTCAGGAAAGGCTGCAACAGGAGTCTTTAGAGTCTTCATTTCTGATAACAAAAAATCATACTCGGGGAGCAAAGAAAGGCCTGGGATAGAAAGTAAAAAATCCTCCATCTGGGTCAAAACTAAATCAAAGGAGGACGGGTTTCTTTTAGCAGAACTAAATAGTTTGAGAATTGTCTGATTAATATAAAAAATATCCTCAGAAAGAAAAAAAGGGAAGGTCAGTATGAGTGGGTGTGGTGACGGGTGCCGCCCCCACCGGAAACCTGGAAGGTGAGGCGGCGGGACACGCCCCCACGGTGTCACAATGAAAACTCTCCGGAGGTACGGCCAGGCTGGGTCGAACAGCCGCGGCGCGGAGTGGCGGTGAGAGGCCAGATTCCGCCCCCACCAGGAACCTGGAAAGTGAGGCGACGGAACCCGCCCTTGTAACGTCAACCGGACCGGACTCACCGAAACGAGCAGGAGTGGACCGGAGCTCCCGCGGGACGTTGGATCTCGCCCCCACCGGAAACCTGGGAGGTGAGGCGGCGAACCCCGCTCCCACGAAAACACCGGAACCAGCTCTGAAGTTCTGCTCGGCAGAAGAGACAGGGCCGGCCGCCGCAGACTGCCTCCGGAACCGTCCACCGCGGCGGCGGCGGGACGGTGGATGGACGGAGACGGAGAGGAGCTCGTCCATCACGGCACGAGGAGGGAAAAAACAAAAATGGGTGAGTGTTGCCGAGTGAGAACCCTGCCCGCTGGGTTCTGTTCTGGTCGGGTCGTACTGTTAGGATTTGTGTCAGGAGCGAACCCAGAGTGCAGAACAGGGACTCAACTCGGCAAAAATACAAAAATAGGTTTTTAATGATAAATGAAAAGTACAAAATAAACAAGCAAAACTTACATAAACAAGGAAGGAGGCACGGGGAACTCAGGAGACACAGGGAACTCGAGGAACCAGGAAGACAAGGAGAGACTCAGGAGACCCAAGGAAGCGTACCCAACGAAGACGATCCGACGAAGAACAAGACAGAATAGGATGACTTAAATACAAGGAGAAGACGAGACATGATAACAAACAGCTGGGACGAGACACAGGTGGCACTAATGGAACTAATGAGGGAGCACGAGGGAAACAGACAAACCGGGCCACAGAAAGCTAACATCCTTACAGTACCCCCCCCCCCCAAGGACGCCTCCAGGCGTCCCCAAAAAACCCCCCTCCCGAAGGACTAGGTCGGGTGGAGGGTGGCACTGCAAGGGTGGAGGGCCCGAGGAAAACACGAGGACCAGAGAAAAGACACGAGGAACCACAGAGAAAAAAAGGACACGAGGAACCACAGAAAGGACACGAGGGACCAGAGAACGAGGACACGAGGAACCAGAGAACAAGGACACGAGGGGCCAGAAAAGGGACACGAGGGGCCAGAGAAAATACACGAGGGATCACAAAGAACGAGACACGAGGAGCCAAAGAGAAAAAGAACACGAGGAACCACAGAGAAGGGGACACGAGGAACCAGAGAACGAGGAGCCAGGGAATGAGAACACGAGGGGACAGAGGAGGGACACGAGGAACCAGAAAAGGGGCACGAGGGATCACAAAGAACGAGGAGCCAAAGAGAACAAGGACACGAGGAGAAAAAGGACACGAGAAACCAGAAAACGAGGAGAAAAAGGACACGAGGAACCAGAAAACGAGGACCCGAGGAACCAGAGAAAAAGGGAACACGAGGAACCAGAAAAGGGACACGAGGAGCCAGAAAACGAGGACACGAGGAGCCAGAGAAAAGGACACGAGGAGCCTGAGAAAAGGACACGAGGAGCCAGAGAACGAGGACACGAGGAGCCAGAGAAAACAAAAACACGAGGAGCCAGAGAAAACAAAAACACGAGGAGCCAGAGAAAACAAAACACAAGGAATTTGGACGGTCAAGGGATCGTCCCTAAGAGACACTGTTCCGGCGGGCGGCCGGGAGGCTGTCCATCAAGCCGAGCCAGGTCAGGGGGGCAGCCGGGAGGCCGTCCAAAACACAGGGCCAAAGGGAACACGGCCTGCATTGTGGAAGCCTGCTGAGCTGCAGGAGACGGCGTGGAAGCCTGTTGAGCTGCAGGAGACAGCGTGGAAGCCTGTTGAGCTGCAGGAGACGGCGTGGAAGCCTGTTGAGCTGCAGGAGACGGCGTGGAAGCCTGTTGAGCTGCAGGAGATGGCATGGGAGCCTGGAGGGCTGCAGCAGACGGCGTGGGAGCCTGGAGGGCTGCAGCAGACGGCGTGGGAGCCTGGGGGGCTGCAGCAGACGGCGTGGGAGCCTGGGGGGCTGCAGCAGACGGCATGGGAGCCTGGGGGGCTGCAGCAGACGGCGTGGGAGCCTGGGGGGCTGCAGCAGACGGCGTGGGAGCCTGG